GTAGGTCTTTCGCTTTCCATGCCTCGTGCAAGGTTTTCGTGCTGCAATCCCAGACCCCCCGTCTCGTTCCGAGATTGGGGGTCTGGCTTGTTGCCTTCTTCCACGCCTCCCGTAGGTCTTTCGCTTTCCATGCCTCGTGCAAGGTTTTCGTGCTGCAATCCCAGACCCCCCCGTCTCGTTCCGAGATTGGGGGTCTGGCTTGTTGCCTTCTTCCACGCCTCCCGTAGGTCTTTCGCTTTCCATGCCTCGTGCAAGGTTTTCGTGCTGCAATCCCAGACCCCCCGTCTCGTTCCGAGATTGGGGGTCTGGCTTGTTGCCTTCTTCCACGCCTCCCGTAGGTCTTTCGCTTTCCATGCCTCGTGCAAGGTTTTCGTGCTGCAATCCCAGACCCCCCGTCTCGTTCCGAGATTGGGGGTCTGGCTTGTTGCCTTCTTCCACGCCTCCCGTAGGTCTTTCGCTTTCCATGCCTCGTGCAAGGTTTTCGTGCTGCAATCCCAGACCCCCCGTCTCGTTCCGAGATTGGGGGTCTGGCTTGTTGCCTTCTTCCACGCCTCCCGTAGGTCTTTCGCTTTCCATGCCTCGTGCAGGGTTTTCGTGCTGCAATCCCAGACCCCCCGTCTCGTTCCGAGATTGGGGGTCTGGCTTGTTGCCTTCTTCCACGCCTCCCGTAGGTCTTTCGCCTTCCATGCCTCGTGCAGGGTTTTCGTGCTGCAATCCCAGACCCCCCGTCTCGTTCCGAGATTGGGGGTCTGGCTTGTTGCCTTCTTCCACGCCTCCCGTAGGTCTTTCGCCTTCCAGGCCTCGTGCAGGGTTTTCGTGCTGCAATTCCAGACCCCCCGATTAGGGGTCTGGCTTGTTGCCTTCTTCCACGCCTTCCCGTAGGTCTTTCGCCTTCCATGCCTCGTGCAGGGTTTTCGTGCTGCAATCCCAGACCCCCCGTCTCGTTCCGAGATTGGGGGTCTGGCTTGTTGCCTTCTTCCACGCCTCCCGTAGGTCTTTCGCCTTCCATGCCTAGTGCGGGTTTTCGTGCTGCAATCCCAGACCCCCCGTCTCGCTCCGAGATTGGGGGTCTGGCTTGTTGCCTTCTTCCACCCCTGCCGTAGGTCTTTCGCGTTCCATGCCTCGTGCAGGGTTCTTGGCGCAATCCCAGACCCCGTCTCGCTCCGAGATCGGAGGTCTGGGTTGCTGTTTATGTCCGCACCTGCCGCAGGTCTCTCGCTTTCTATGCCTCGTGCAGATTTTTCGTGCTGCTATCCAGGGCGTCGTCTGGCTTGTTGCCATCTTCCGCCCCTCCCGTAGGTCCTTCGCTTTCCATGCCCGTGCCGGGTTCTTGCGGCATTCCCAGAACCCCCGTCTCGCTCCGAGATTGGAGGTCTGGGTAGCTGTCATGTCCGCACCCCGCGTAGGTCTTTCGCTTTCCGTGCCTCGTGCCGGGTTTTCGCGCTGCTATCCCAGACCCCCGTCTCGCTCCGAGATTGGGGGTCTGGCTTGTTGCGATCTTCCGCCCATTTCGCAGGTCTTTGTCCTTCCATGCCCGTGCAGGGTTCTTGCGGCAATCCCAGACCGCCCCGTCTCGCTCCGGGATTGGGGGTCTGGGTTGTTGTCGTATCCGCACCTCCCGCAGGTCTTTTGCTGTTTTCTGGCTGCAATCCCAGACCCCCCATCTCGCTCCGAGATTGGGGGTCTGGCTTGCGGCCATCTTCTGCACCTCCCTCGGTCTTTCGCCTTCCATGCCTGTGCAGGGTTTCGGCCACAATCCCAGACCCCCGTCTCGAGATTGGGGGTTTGGGTTGTTGTCGATATCTGCACCTCCCACAGGTCTTTCGCTTTCCAAGCCAGTGCAGGGTTTTCACGCTGCAATCCCAGACCCCCCGTCTCGCTCCGAGACTGGAGGTCTGGCTTGTTGTTGCCATCTTCCACACCTCCCGTAGGTCCAGCATGTTAATCCGGCTCTTCGCGCAGCTTCCTATGTTGTATTTAGGGCTTTCGTTGATTTTTCCGTCTTTGGTTGTTGCCGTCTAGCTTCGCGTGCCTTTCACCCTTTTCTCTGTGGTTGGTTTCTTTTCGTTCTTTCAGTCCACCTCCTCGCACCAACTTTGGTTTGTTTCCATGGTGCGAGATCTGTGTGGTTGTCACCTTTCGCTCGATCCGCAGTTTGTAGGTTTGCTGCTGTTATCCCAATCTCGTGATTGGGGCTCGGGGTGGGTGCCATTTTGCGCATGTTCCGTAGAATCCTCGCCTCCCATTCTCTGTCCTTGGCTTTCATGTGCTGCCAGACCACCCGGCCTCGCGCTGTTTGGGGTCTGGGATCTTGCAATTTTCTGTACTTTTGTCAGCTTCCGTCCTCTTGTAGGCTTCTGCTCCTATTCCAATCCCCTACCATTCCTCTTCTTATGTGAAACTTGGCTGCATTAGATACACGCCCTCTCGAACCCCTCGCGGAGAGCGGCTATGACGATTACGGAGCCGCTCGGAGATGCTTGGGGGGAAGTGGGTTGCCGGCCGCAGTAACGTCTGTGGGCCACTCCTCCTCCTCCTCCTCCTCCTCCTCCTCCTCCTCCTCCTCCTCCTCCTCCTCCTCCTCTACCTATCTGTTGATCTATCCACCGATCTCTCCTGTGGAACTCTTGAACATGATCTTGATCTCAGCCTTTGGCAAGCCTCCAAAGCACAGAAGTACTGAAGAACCTTAGATCTTAAGCTGTATAGTTGCTCAACCCAATCAAGGGAACCCGCAACTCAAAAGACGGGTCCCTAAACCCAAAAGACGACAACCACAAACCCACCCCCCATAGCCAAACCGCAGACCTGACAAGCAGACCTCAAACTTCGCCACCCTAAGCCCCTTTTCCCGAAGCCACGGAATCATGTAGCAACCACTACCACAAATGCCACGACAAGATACACCAAGAAAAACAGAGACCTCTTTAGTCAAAGCAGAGATCTCGTGACAGCACCTTTAACCGAACGAAAAGTCGCATGTTCGAGACCCTAAACCCGTAAACCCGAAACCCTGAAGCCTACCCCCTAAAGCGGTACACCCGAAACCCTGAAGCCAACCCCTAAACCCTAAACCCAAAACCCCTAAATCCTAAACCCTAAACCCTATTACTAGTAATACCCTAAACCCCAAAGGCCAAGTCGCGTGTTCGAGACCTGCTCCGCAGGCCCGGAGACATGCTTCGATAATGCGCAGCGTCTGCACCGTCTCCTGGAAACAGCGCTTTGGAGGCTTTTTAGTGCTTATGGTTTAGGGGGTTGGTTTAGGGTTTAGGGTTTAGGGTTTAAGCTTTAGAGAGTTTAGGGTTTAGGGCTTTAGTAGGCATCGTCCTCCTATTGGTTTCTGAATCTCCCAGTAGAGCTTGATGACTGAATTCTACTACAGTCTTCGGGGTCGGATCTTCAAGAAGCTTGAATGTAGCAGTTGAGGTGTAGGGTCCTTGACTACGCTCATCTGTTAGAAAGGCCCCCACCCTATAATAGTGACTATAAGGATTATATTAGGGCCGTATCATATTCCTATTATACCACTATTACAGGGTGGGGGCAGCTTCTAACCTAAACCCCTAAACCCTAAACCCTTAAACCCTTAAACCCTTAACCCCTAAACCCTAAACCCCTAAACCCTAAACCCTTAACCCCTAAACCCTAAACCCTAAACCCCAAAGGGCAGCTTATGACTCATCTCTCAGCCGACTCTCAACCCTAAGGAAGCGACGGCTCCTGAGAGACCCGTCTCTCACAGAGGACTCAGCTGGTTTCGTGGACTTCGGTTCCGTAAACGGGATCTATGAAGGTTCTATAAAGGGCTTTGGGTTTAGAGTTTCCGAAAATTAGGGGTACCTGATTTTGGGGTCCTTATAAGATTATAAGAAGGATCCTACTATTCAAGGGTACTATATCAATAGGGTCCCGTTCCTAGCCTGGGTTGTGCATTAAACCCTTTGAAAATTATTTATGAATAGGTTCCCTTTATAAGGAAATAAGGGAAAGTCAAAATTATCCCAAAGCAGAACCCAGATGACCAAATCTCCTTCCGCAGCTTCGTAGCACAAGCATTGGGTTCGGATCGTGATCATAAAGGCCACTACAGTTGATGATATAAATCCTGCATTACCCATAATAAGGAATATACCATAATTTCCATAGTTTAGGGTCCTTTTAAGGTCATTCAGGATTTATATCATCAACAGTATTGCAGCGAGTGGCTGATGCTGTGGGGATGGAAAGAGGGGCCGGAGTCAGTGCTTGTCGGGATTCCTTCTAGAAGGCCCCAAAGTAGTTCCTTTTTGGGATTACCTTATAGGATTCTATATATGAAACCTCAAAGAGGAACTACTTTTGGGCCTTAGGGTAGTTCTGGAGAAGCCCCGAACCACTCTATACTGAACTTAGAACCCTAGCGAAAAAAATTATAGTTTTAGCTGTTTCTTAGGGATTATAATAACCAAAAACTAAACAATATTTCTATTTGCCCTTAGCACTGATGTCAGTTCTGCACCCTGTCCTTCTCGGGGCCTCCAGGAACGACGGTAGGTTTTCCATCACTGCCTTTCCGAGCTGCTGTGAAGCCAAGAACTAAACTCCCAGAACCTCAAGCCCCCCCAACAGAAACGAAGTAAACCTTAGGCCTCGAAATCCCTCAATAGACCCATGAAACTCAACCCCGAAGCTTAAGCTGAGACCTTGTAAATTCGAGGGCTTACTGGGCCAGAGCTTCAGGGTTTAGAAGTCACGGTGGTTTATGGCACCCCTAAACCTAAACCTCTGGACCCACATCTTAAACCCGGGCGAAACCTCATTGGTTTCTGGATGCAGGGTGTCGAGGTCCATAAGGGCGGGCCTTAACAATGAGACCACGGATTTGGGGCTTTGGGGTTGTGATAACAGAATCCCGCCTTTTCGACTATATAGCAGTTTTTCGGAAAAAACTGGTTTTGGGACATACAAACTAGTATGGAATAGTTCGTTTGAAGAATCCTGAGGAAAAGTCTTGGTGATTATTTCAGACCATATATTAACTGGCCGGCACACAGGAACAGCCCTGGGTTCCCAACTTTGCCTTTCCGGGCACCCACTGCGCCCGAGACGTAGATGGTCCCCGTCTCTGTGATCACTGCAGAGCAGAAGGGTAAGCGAGCCTGAGCGAAGGCACGACAACTACCACCTGTGCCTCTAAGTACCTACTATCTTGACGTCATACCGAAATACCCCTCACAGAAACGCCGAGGATCGTAATCCGCTCAAAATACGGGTTCAGTGCAAAACTATCTTGTACAGGTGCGGTACTCAATTCAGAGTCCTTTGGCAGTTAGGGTTTGGGGGTTCTACAGCACCCTTAACCCCAAACCTGAAGACCACAAGCACTCCAAACCTGGTCCAGACAAAGTTGCAGGAATGCCCAGGAGTGCATTCCAGTCCAGCGTCACATGTGTTTTTCCAGCGCTCACCTCGCTCTTGACATCAATATTGCCTTGGCCAGCATACCCTCCCTCAACCCTAAACCCTAAACCCTAAACCCTAAACCCTAAACCCTCAACCCTCAACCGTGAGACTTGGAAGAAGTAGCACCGCCCCCGTCACCCTGCACCCCACCTCAGAAACAAAAGCCCTGCACTCACTGAAACCCAGAGCCCTGAGGCCCGCATCCTAAAGGGTTTAGGGTTTAGGATTTAGGGTTGAGGGTTTAGGGTTTAGGGGCCCTAAACCCTACACTTCCCTGCGCTTTCATCTCTTCATAAAGCCAAAAAGTAGCATTCAGGTGGGTTTACCGATGTTTGAGGGCTAAAAGCCCGTCGCCATGACGCCCTCAACGTTGAAGTTCGCAAAATGCACCTCACAAAACCCCACAGAAAACTAGACCCTAATTCATAAAAGCTGCCGACACCGGTTCTTGCTTGCAGACCCGAAACTCTCTGAATTCAGAATTAACCTTGGGGGGCCTTATGAATGAGAATAGGCATTTGGGGTATAGTATGTCTCATTCGGCTGTTCTACTAGTATGCTTTCAGCTATACAGTCCATATCTCACTTAAGGGCTGCTGTAAAATGAACACTTCTCAACTATGGGATGTTGGAGTCAGTGGGACCAACTTGGGCTCAATGCCTGAATGCTTAGGATCTAAGGCTCTATGGGTTTAGGCTCTCGGGTTTGGGGTTGCTTCAAGAGACATCGTTGACGGTCTAGGGATTGATGGCTTGGTATGCTATGAACTCCTGGAAACTTGGACTTGTTCTAGCAATCGCCCTGTCCTTCACAAGCTGGCTATGCTGCCGAGCCACCTCTCAGCCCCTTGGACGTAAACTATTACTAGTACTATAACAACAAAATACCTGATGCCAAAGAAGATCCCAGCAACCTAGTCCCGGAACGGCTACCTTCTTGGCGATTTGAATGCGTGGCTTCCGCAGGTACCCGACGAGCCTGCAGACAGCTCTGGGATCGTTTGAGTAGCCTTTGCTGTCGTGTTGCTATTCATACCATCTTCTGGTTGTACCTGCCATGATTTTACTGCTAGCATTCTACAACCGATGCCAGAAGTGGTGCTCTTCTGCTTCTCAAGGCTACTGCTTCAGCACTACTCTCAAGTCACCACCAAACCTGCTGAGCTTGCCTCCCTGTGCTCTAAGTTTGGCTTCCAAGGACTGGTCTGAAGTCCGCCGCCGTTGGGATTTGCGAGATGCAGAAAGCACCCCAATTCTAGAACGTAGATAAAGTGACCCCTAATTCTCAACTAGTCCTAAAAATATTGCAAAACGCATATAGTAACCCCATAAGTACCTCGACGTTGGGTTTAAAGACTTTAGGTTGACCCGCAGAATCAGAAGTCAGAACGTTCGACACCCTCCCAAAACGCGCAAATGTACTATAGGCGCCTTAATAGTTAGAATAGGGTATTGGGGCCCATATACTATAATTATAATAAGGACCCCCAAAATAGTATTGGTAATTATTCACACCCCTATAGTATAATTACTGGAAAGTCATCTCTTCAGCGAGGTGCAAACGTGCGAGCCACAGGCCTCAACGGCACCAATACAGGGGCGTTAATAGTCAAAATGGGTTTTGTCAAGGTGTACGTATATTTTCCAGCATATTTCATTACTCATCATAAGAATCCCCAACATCCCAGATTACGCCCAACTTTCTGCCGGCTAGTAGCAGCGCAGCTCCAATGCCTAGCACGGATGCCACGGAAGCCACCGCAATGTCGCGCGCAGCCATGACGGCCGGCCAGACGACGAACCCTCAACCTCTTTCAACAGTAGTTCGAACCAGCAACAGTCGGTAGATTCTTGATCTGCTGCTGTATAGATGCAGCCGAAGCATAGCAGGATCAACGATGATGGCCTTCTTGACGTAGCGAGTTGTGGTCTAGTATGTGCGAAACATGAGTATATTTAGTCATGAACATTTACGACGAGCTCCGACCTCTCCTGAATCACATTGCGCTGCTGCAGCGCTTCAAAAGCGTTGAAATGCTGCGGGTGGAGGTCTTGCAAGCCCCGAAATCATGAACCTACCATTACCCCTATTACGAGTGCAAGGGCGGATCCGGAAAATGAAGGTACTCTTGGGGAATGTTTCCGATGATCCTGAACCTAGTAGATCCGAGACCCAAGCCCTTTGAATCTGGAGGCATGGATCTTTGGATTTGGGCTTCCGTCTTTTTGGCGCAAGGGGGCTCGTATGGGGAATTCAGGGTTTAAGGATGTGGGAGCAGCCTATGCCGAATCAGGTGTTAAGAGCTTGCTTTTGTACATTTTTATAGGGGTTTCAGCCATCGCCACACATACATGCGTACGTACGTATGCATGTAGGTGCGTACGTACATACACATCTACATAACACACATACAGACATACATACAGACATGCAAACACAGAAACAACCAACCCAGCGACCAAACAAATAAACACGCATATATGCATGTATGCATATATGCATATGTACATACATTATTAACTTAATGCAACATAGCGTAATTTACAAACCATGCGATCCATAAATCCACGGTACATGCATACAGGAACAGATTGATAGTTAGATATAGATAGATGGATAGATGTGCATATATATATATATAGATATCTGTACGCATATGCTAAAACCGTACCTGCACACGTCCATTCATTTGTGCATGTTTATGTTTGTATTATATACTTGTGTTCCTGTATTTGCCTACTGATATTGTCAAAATGTTGCCGTACAGAACCTTTAACCAAACCTTGGAGGTTCAGGGGTAGTTATAAGTAGGGTTATAAGTAGGGTAACTATACTTATTGCCCATGTTAGGGGACTCATAGCCCGTTATATATATATATATATATATATATATACACATACCCTTGAACCTCCAAGTAGTGTTCTGGATGGGGCTTGGGCCAGGCCTTGCAGGGTGCGGGGCGAAGGGGTGGTCATTCTATTCAAGATCTATGAAGTGCCTCTGGAAATCTAGAACTCGAACTATTGCGGCCTGGCATTCCTGGCAATCAGAGCTCACCACAGCAAAAGATGCGATAGAAACACCATTCATCCCAGTAAAACACCCTATGCCTTAAACTCTCTTCCTGAAACCTAAACCCCAAACTCCACACCTTCTACCCTCCACCCTCCTAGGTCTAACCCTAAACCATAAAAATCCACACCTTCCACCCTCCTAGGTCTAAGAGCAGGGCGCTGGATCGATGTTGTTGAACTGGCACGAGGCCACCGTACTCTCGCCTTGGTAGGGCCTGGCCGCAAGGGCTGCCACGCTTGATGATATAAACCCTAATGGTTTAGGCTTTAGGGTTTAGGGCTACGCTTGATAAAAAACCCTCTATTACTTTCGTATCTTCCTTATTGCGGGTAATTCAGGATTTAGATCATCGACCGTACCATGAGGGGTCTGTAAAGGAGTCTGGCAGGGTTCCATAATGCAAGGATTACGATGAAGGGGTCTAGAAGCGTTGCATAAGGATTGCTAGACAAAATGTGTACAAGAGGTTACAAAGGGTTACCAAATGGGTCCTACACAGGGTCCACAAAGGGTTCGTTATAAGGCTTTAACTTTTAGAGATATCAGCGGACTGCGCCACGTCAGTAATCCCAGAAGGGCCCTTTGAAACTCTCCGTGTTTTGGTGATACGAGATAGCACACGAAAGCCCGTCACTTGCAAGGCCTGAAACGCAGCGTCGAGCTTTAGGGCTCTGGGTGGAGGTTTACAAGGCTCCGCTTCAGGGCTGCAGGGTTTTTTTTTTTGAGCACCTTTTTCCGTCCGCCTAAGAAGTTTTAGGATTCAGGAATTCGCTTTGCGAAAGGCTGTGGTTGCCCTCATAACTTCACGTAGATGGATCCACCCTGTGTTCGTGTTGTTGTCCTGCCTCCGACACGACCTTTGTGCTGTCTCGCCATTGTTCTCATCAAGCTGCGTCTCTCCATGTCCGCTTCCGAGGTCACCCTCCAAAGCGAAGACCCCTGAGTGCGCATGAGACCCGGTAGCTCCACTCTCTCCTTCCCCTTGCTCCACTAACTCTTGCAGTGCTTCCAGCTCCCACTCCACATACTCAGACAGCTCCTCCCTGCATGCCGCGATCCCATCAGTTTTCATCTTCATAAACAGACGTAGCCACTTGTCCCCGTAGATGGTCTGAATCGTATCGTCAGAGATGTGGCCACCTGCCCATCGTTCGAAAACCTGTTTGACCACAGCGAAGGGGACTCGTAGAGGTTGTGCAACAGATAGGGCTCATCAGGGTTCAGGGGTGTCGGGTGTCGGAGTTTGGGCTCCAGGGTTTACACTTTGGGGCCTGAGATCCTGAGGAGCGCTGAATCTGCAACCCCTAAACCCGGCGGAGTGGCGGTCGGCACTCGACCAAACAGGCCTGACCGCCCATGACTCCTGGCTACGCAGGCTTGGGTTTAGGCCTCGAGGCCTCGGTTTTGGGTTTCTCTTGGACGTGGGGCTTGTGGGTTTCCGGATGGCACATCCCCCATGTGCAGGGGTTCAGGGTTTAAGGGTTCGGGGGCAGCTTGCGGAGCACGGGTCGGGTTAAGGGTTTGGGGCACTTGTGCAGCTTTGGATTTGGGTTTCGAAGAGCTTGAAGGCTTTTATGGGCGAAGGGGTTCGGACTTCGGTGGTCTCGACATGCTCAAAGTGACATCATAGGAGCACGACTCACCCAAGAACAAGCGGGGGACTCTGTTACACTGCGTTCCGGAATTGCTGTGGTTTGTGGGAGATGTTCCCCTCGGGTGTGATCCAGAACAATAGCATCGCTCTTGCCAAGAAGGCTGCATTTGAGCGTTCCTAATTCCATCGTACCCTTTACTGCAGCTAAGTGAAGCTATACTCCAGAATCTTGAATGTCCGTGAAGTCCTGAACCGTGCTCACGACCCTATCTAACCCCCCAAAGCCCTGCATACCCTCATGCAACCCCAAAGGTTTCCATCTTCTGCCGAGGAGCCGGTACAGTTGTCGGAGGAGTCGAAGTCGTAGACGCAAGGGTCGCTCACCTCCGGAAGCACCTGGCGGCTTTCAAGGGATCGGGGTGTGGGAGTGTACTATAGGGGCCTATATAATTACCAATACTATTTTGGGGGCTCCTGAATATAATTCTGGTATGATGTAGCCCAAAACCCTAAACCCTAAGCCCTAAACCCTAAATAAGTAAACCCCATTGTAAGTACTGAAGCCCCTACAGTAGGAGTCGGGGAGTCCGAGCTCCCGGACTCCCCTGGATTCTACCCTAGACTTAGACTTGGACCCTTCTTTGGTTAAGTAGTAGAAGGCCTAGTCGAGGACGTTGCTATGTGCTTTGTTGGGGCTCGTTAGGATTTTAGGGCTTGGAAAATGAAAAGGAAATCATAAAGGCATCCCTGACGGTGAGACTCTAGCCTGCGCTGCCTCCCTCTAGATCCCACCTCATACTTGGAGGTTAGGGGCAGTTATACGTGGGGTTATAAGTCCCCTGACACGGGTTATAGGTATAGTAACCCTACTTAAAACCCTACTCCTAACTACCCATGAACCTCCAAGTACCCCAAACCCTAAACCCTTCATGGTGTGTGTTCTACTATAGTCATATTCGGAAACTCCGAGGAACGGAAAGTTACCGTTCCTTCTGATTTCTTCGTCCAATCGTATCGTTACCTATTACCAAGTGTTCAGCACTCTCTTTTTCGATCATCCCACTGGTCGGATTTTTGCGTGCAGAAAACTGACGTTCAAGGCAGTTGTTGTTTGCGGCTGGCCCGGACCTACCTGCAGGACCACTGCATTGATGCTGCTCTAAGGGACCAAGCGGGTCAACGGACCGCTTTGAGCCTTCAGTCTAGGCCCGTCCCCAGAGATTTCAACCTACTTACTACTTATACCAAAACAAACCCAAAACCGTAAGCTCCGAAGCCGCAATGCTCTCAAGCCAAGAACCAAAAAAAAAACGAACAGCTGCCAGGGTCCCGCACGCACGGCACGAGCTCATCACAGCCGGAAAGAGACGAGGTGACGGTCTGGGAAAAATGGAGTTTCGTTGCAGAGCTCAGGGTTGCGGGTAGCGTGAGGATCCCGTCGTAATGTAGACTTCTGATTATGTTTGAGGTTACTGCGCTACCGCGAGGGCCTTGTGTCCAGGTACCAGGACGTAAACCCTAAACCCTAAACCCCTAAACCCTAAACCCCTAAACCCTAAACCCTCTACCCCTAAAACCCTAAAACCCTATACCCTAAACCCTAAACCCCTAAACCCCTAAAACCCTAAAACCCTTAACCCTAAATCCTAAACCCTACGGCCGCCTCAAAGCACGAACCATTTTCGAGCAGCGAGGCTCCAGGGTGAGGCTACTTTGATAAACATACATTGCCCAGAGACTCCAATATCCCTTAATTAAGGAATATACCTTAAACGATAGTAGGATCCCTAATATGATTATTAAGGTATATTCCCTAATTAAGGGATATTGGGATCTCTGGGTGGGTACGGCTCCCATACATTGAAGGGTGGTTCAAAGGGGAAAAGGAGGGACCCTTAATGGGGGCCCTTACCTCATAATGGGCTATATAATGGGTATATAATAGCTATATTAAGGGTATATAGAGTCTACAATAGGGCTACTATTAAGGTCCTAATATATCTATATTATGAATGTTACCCAACTGCTACTGCGTGGGGGCAGTGCCCAAAACATAAACACAGAAATCAAAGGCGGTAACTTTCACGACTTATGAGCCGCAACGAAAAT